TATAACAGATAATGTGAAATAGGAGGAAAAGAGGCAAAGGGGAAGTTGAAGTAGGAGGGGTAAAAGAAAGGGAAAGGAATGAAATTAATATGAGAAAATGGAAAAATGGAAACAAAGTCTTTGTAAATAGGAAAGGGAGAGGGGTTGAAGAGAGGGCAGGGGAATTGGAAAAAATAAGAACCAAGATAGAGTACATAAAGGTACAAATTTACAGTGATGAGTATCGTTATATTGTATACCTAAAATGTATCAATAAAATTAATAATAATAAAGAAATTATTTTTAAAAAAGAAAGAAAATGCCAGCAGAGGGCGCTCAGCTCCTGACCCCTTTGCTGAAGCAGGCAAGGTCCAGGTACCACAGAGCACCTAGTCATTCTGCAAATGGCACTGCGGCAATTAGGTTGCACTCCCAGCTGTTCATGTCACCAAGCTGATCAAAAAATTGTAATTTCTCAAAGAGGCAAAGGAGAAATTGTTTTTTTAAAGAGATATCTATGCGTACATCAGGATTATTAACATGATATAATTTTTAAAAGTTTATAGACACCCTTTTATTGTGTGAAATAAAGCATTGGTTTAATGAAGAATATTTTACATCATTCTCAAAAAAGTCTGAAAATTGTTTATATTTCTAAAAATTTTAGATATTGGAAGAATTATAAGTTGTTTTAGACATAATTCCCCAAAAGAAAAATCTAGGGCAAACTATATGCATATATGAAATAATAAAAACAGTTTAACTCCTGGGAAATAAAAATAACAAGATTAAAAGAAATTAAGATTGCACTTAGCTATCATCTTATATGTAGTGTACTCATTTGAATACAACATCAATTTATAGACAAATCAGTCTGACTTTAATAAAGATGTAAAATTAGGCTAGTCAGTTAAAAAAAGCTATTTTTTGAACATAAATCTAAGTCAAAGAAGGGTTGTGAAAATGATTGATTTGAAATTTTTAAATAATATAACTAGATGCTATTATTTTCAACCCAGACACTAAAATTCAAAGCATGTTCCATATAGACAAGAGAAAATTTGATATTACATAAAATTTTGAGTTTTGATTAATAATACTCAACAGCATTATCATTACTGAATCAGTTTCTAATATGATCTAGATAAAAATTTTTAAAAAGTATGCTATAGTTTTCATTTATGGGAAAGACATATTATCTTTCAGTAATTTTTATGTGGTCAAGATATGTTATAGGCTGAATTTTGCTCCTAACCTCAATTTCTTATTTTGAATTCCTAACCCCCAGCAAATCAGCATGTGACTATGTTTGTAGATATGGTTCTTTTCACAGATAATTAGGAAAAGTGAGGGCTCTAACCTTATGTAACTCAGACATTTTTAGATGAAATTTGGATGTAGGCACAGAGTAAAGTTCACATGAATATGGAGATAAGATGCCCACAAATGAGACAAAAGAGGTCTTTGAAAAAACTAATCCTATTGACAGACTCGTCAGGAAATACATTTCTACTGTGAAAGTCACCTAGTCTATGATATCAGTTTTGGTAACCCTAGCAAAATAACCCAATATAAGATACTAGAAATTGTGCGGTCATGGTGATCAAAGGAGTTTTTAAAAGCATACTGACCAACAAGTTTCTCACAATCAAAATCAACCATAGGATTCATCTCTTTTTATAAAATGGCTCAAATTAAAAGAATTGAATAAAAATTGATTTTTTAAATGATTATAGATCTAGATTGACCAAGAGACTGCATAGGAACATACGTGTAATTAAATAGTTCATTTTTAATATATTTAGATAATATGAACATCGATTATAAAACAGAATTTTAAAAGCAATAATAACTATTTCCTCTCCAAAGTTTATATAAAGAATTTGACCTATATTTTGCAACATTGTAACATTTATAGTATAAATGTAACTGTACAATGAAACAAAAGGACCCATTTATTTAATGTAATGTATATGAAGAATATTACATATGGTTTCTTCTATCTGTAAGTACTCCATAAATATTAACTTCCTCTCAGTTTTCTCTTGTCTAGTGGAAAAAAGGTCATGGAAACTGATTGTTACCCTCTGCCACTAGTCCCCTCGCTTAATTAAACTGATTGGACATTGAATCAATTGACTGTCATTAAAGTCAGGCAGTGAAGTAACTGAAATCACATGTTAAACCTATGGGTTTGTAGACTTCTGGTTTTAGTAAAGATAAGTACTGGTAATCAATGATAAAACAAGTTGGATGGTAACAAAACTGAGGATAGAGTCCTTTTTTTTCCCTTGGTAAGAATGTAAAATGAGAGTTCCCTAATGAAGGAAATCAGTCTCACATAGTTATCCACCAGTGTGACAATTTAAAGTGTTTCAGAGTTGTACAGGTTTCACATATTTTATTTTACATTATGGTCAGGCATACATTTTTAACTACAGCAGTAGCAGAACAAACGGCAGGATCAGTGCTGAGAATTACACATACCAACTGGGAAAATTAATCTGTTTAAAGTGGTGAGATAGACAATAGGTAACACACATGGAGAAAAGTGGCCAGTAGGAAATCTTGCAAGCATCTCAAAGTCATAGGAACTCAGAAGTGGTGAATCTGGATGTCCAGGTTCTATGCAGATAACACTAACTGAAGGTGTCAGGAAAGCCTGCCCTCAGGTAATAGAATGTTTCTTCAGATCTGCGGACAGTAACCAAGGTATCAACACAAACAAGCAGGTACAAATCCTGCTGGCTTCTGTCCTACAGAGAAACAGTATATTATGAAACTGAGAATCAACACACAAGTGCACAATGGGGTAATAATTCCAAAGATTTGTATAATACTAAATATCAATTACTGAATACTCTGTATGTACTAGGACATCTTGCAAAAATTTGTGCATGTTGTTTCAGTATACTCAAACCAATTTTCATATATATATATGAAGGTTAAATAATTGTGATGAAACATAATAATTTCTAGATTAAATAAAAAGGCATGTATGTATTAACATGCACTGTCTTATTATTATTAAAGAGGGAAAATAGCTTAGAAACAATCCAGCATGGGAATAAGATTCTCAGATACGGAATAAATTAATCCTGATTTTACACTGATACCAGAAAATAATGAAACATCAACTAAGATCTCTTTTTTGAAGAAAAATTACTTGTGGGCCAAGCATTTCAACAAGAGTTATTTTTTTTTCCAGTACAAAGGTCAAGGAGAGATTTCAGATATATGTGTACATATATGTCTATATGTATGTGTGTGTATATATATGTGTGTGTATATATATATATATATATAGGCTTAATTTTATATATATATATATGTATATATATATATAGGCTTAATTTTATATATATATATATGTATATATATATATAGGCTCAATTTTTTTCAAATATATGTGTTTTGAACATAAATTACTTATGGTAACTAAACACCAAAAAATCAAAATGATAATTTGAGTGACAAAGAGTATGTTACACTCTTTTCTAGGACTTTCAAAAAGTACAATTTCCAAATTGTTATATGGGACCTGAGGAAAAACATTGCTCGGTGCATTAGTATAAGTAAAGCTGAATGAGGATCCTCGGGTTCCCCTTTAATACCAGTGCCTCTATACAGTCTAAGAAAACAATTTCTACACGCAAGAGTCAGTATTAAAATAATGCTACAATGGGCAAAATACATTTCTCTAGGATTTTCTTTTCATCAGTTTAAGATTCACTGCTACATTCAGTTATTTGATTTAAACAGATTAGAACTGTGCATTTAAAAATTAAAATGTTTGGGAAGGATACATTTATCTTTAATTTTGTTCTTTGGTTACTTGTTTTTCCTTAACAGTACAAACATGAAGACATAATAAAGATAAGTTTATTTTAATAATATTCATTAAATTTATATTTTATATAATTGAATTGAATAAATATTGCCAAAATAAATATTTCCCAGGAGTCTATATTGAGTTGAATGTATAGCTATTATAAATAATTTTTCCATAGGTGGAGTGAAGTGTAATATTCTGTAGCTACTTAGGATTTTCAGAGAAACCCTGACTAGCGGTTTGCAGAAGAACCACTTGTTCAGTTTACAGATTTGAGTTCCAGAATTTTAAAGTTATTTGTAGAGCTGATTTACTCAGATTTCTTCAGACTACTTTAGGAAACATACAAAATGCTGGAATGATCTTTCTCATACACTCACTGACATTGCGAGGAAGAAAACAGAAAGGATCTCACCAAATGAATCACACTAGTTATAGCTAAAAGAAGAGAAAAAATTATAATTATGTTGGTAATAATTCTGTAATAGTCAATATTACAAGTTAGTCATTCGCATTAAGGAAAAAATAATAAAAATACTTATAGTTTCAATTTGAGTTCTCTAACAATGAGTTCATAATCCACCTTGACATTTCCTGGATATTTTGAGAATTGCAGTCAAGCTTAGGCAGAACCATTTAAGAATTGATAAGTACATGAGACTACTATTAATGAGTTCTCTGGAGAAGATAATTCTATAACCTTCAAAACTCACTGACAACATTGAATAAACATTACATAGTGTATTTATGTTACTGAAAGAAAGATTTAAACTTCTAGATAATATAATTATCTTCTCTGGAGGTGGGGGCTTGGTCACGAGGTTGTGGGAACAAATACTTATTTTTATTGAGCTCCATCCAATTTACAAACATCACTTTATTTAACTTGTTTTTAGTTTTATAAGGCAAGTGTCATGCATGAAATACAGCACCAGTAGATGACAGGTATTTAGTAATTTAGTTAGTTAAGTGCAGGTTTCACCAATACTCTGTACAATAGATGACACTGTCCCTTTTTCACAGCTCAGGAAAAAGACCCAGAGAGATGATCCAGATTTTTCCAGATCACACAGCAGAAATATATGAAATCGTGTTTATGTGTACAAAACCTTTCACAGATAGATCTCATGCACTGTGACTTTCGTTGTAAAGCAGATACTGTTTTATTGGCTGAGTGTTAAATTTTCAGGTGTTTTCTTATACGGCTGACAAAGAAATCAGAACTGATGACTTGTGCTTGGATGTATCCAGACTCAATGGACCTGTAATTATGTTAAAATGCCACCACATGAGAGGAAACCAGCTGTGGGAATACGATGCTGAGGTATAGTATTTCCTGAACTTTCTTATTTAATTGTTAGGCTTATTCATATATTTCAAAACTAAATCCAAAGCTTTTTTCTTCTGCACTGACAAAATTGTATTTTAAGTGTGAATGTTCATAACTAGTAATATTAGGATGCCAAATTAAGTAAGTAGAGTTTTTTTAACCAAATTGGTTCATTGGTACAAAATAGGTATAATCACTGTTATGTTTGAGATCCCCAGGCACAAGCCAACACAAATTAATCAAGGGTGAACTATAATTATCTGAGTAAGGTGAATGAGGTTGTACACATAGGTCAAAATTGACAATGTACTAATATTTTCAGATTTTAAATTTCATGCTACTGTAAACTCTGATATTTATAGCTCTCATCCTAAAATTTACAATCTGACAAGATTTATTTACTATTATGAAAAATATTGCAAAGAATTTTTTACCATTTACCATAATAAATACTTTACAGAATTTCATAAGTCAAGTAGACATATAATTAGCTAAGCGCATCTCACCAATATAGCTTCCCTTTCAGTCAGCAATGAGTGTGTAAAAATCATTTCAGCCATCAGATGGAGCTAATAAAAAAGAAATGTTTTTCTCTACATATGAAAGCAACTTCAGCGATAGCGTCATATCTTTTAGTTCTCTTTGCTTAGCAAAAGTATCAAAGAGAAGAACTCTACTTTTACAAGATAAATAACACAATAAACAGGCTTCACACGTGCAGTATTTCATGAAACCCTCAAATATGCTGCAAGGGTAACACTGTAAAAGTGCAAAGTGCACTTTTAAAGTGCAACGTTTTGGATATTGCTGATACTTTAACAAGGTCTTCTTTTATAAAACCTTTTAAATGCCATTTATTTTGCATGACTTTATATTTTCGTTTTTTTTTTTTCCATTTAGTCCTAGAGGAAATTTTCTTTTCTTTTTTTTCCTTTATTGAGTTTATTGGTACATTTTAGGTATACAGCACAGTTACATTCTTCATTAGGATCTTGTACCTTTACATGACAGGTCTTGGTTCTCATTTTTTTCCCTTGTCCCTGCCCTCCCTTCACCCCCTCCTCCCCTCCCCATTTACAAACACTTTATTTCCATTTGTTCATTTTCTCATAATTTTTCTTATGAGACTTTATATTTTCTTAAATTAAGTGGTAGGAAATTCTACTGAATTCTTACAGAGTTTGAAACTGATTTAGTAGGGCTAATTCTGAGCCTAAAATTTATACAATGTTACCAAGCCCTTCAGAAGTAAAATCTTCTTCTGGAGCAAAATTAAGAAAAACCACGAGAATCCTTCCTATGTTGCACCATTGTGGTCTGTTCATATGCCTTCACAATATCTTACCCTTGTAGACCACCGTTTTTTCTTTAACTATTATCACCATCCTTTCTATTAATTTTTTAGAAGACTTCTCTGCTACTAAATACAAGTTAGGTAAATCCAGGTCCTTAACCGGTGCTCCCCCTACTCTCTGAGGAAGGACACAGATGCAGTAGAAATCCTGCAAGTAGTATTTACTTTTTAAATAAAGCTTTTTGATGTTGCTATTATGCTTCTTCCAGGAACCCAAGACTATTGGGTTTATGCTAAAATAAATAAATAAATCTAGCCTACATTTATTAAGAAAGGAAATAAATTATATATTTTTGTACAATAAGGCTGTGTTGAATTTCAGCATGCCATTTTTAAACTTTAAATTTTTCTATAGCTCCCAAGGGCAGAGGGCTTCCATAGTCATAATTTAAATTCCTTCATTTCTAAAATAATTTCTGTACATAAGTGTACATTTTTGCTTATGTTTTCTGTAAGTCAGTATCAAGGTCACTAAATACTAAGGAATTTCAAAAGAAAAGTGAAAAAAATGTGGCTTGCCCCATGGTAATGAAGTCATTTTATAAATTTACTTTTTTGAACAATTAATAGTTATCGATTGTAATATTTCAAAGTAGTATAATATCTTGAATCATCTTGATTCTGCTTTTGGATTATCCAAAAAGCTTAATATTGAGAAATGTTATTTTAAATAAGCAATCTGATCATTTTAGTAATTATGTGCCATAATTTAATTTACTCTCCTATATATTTGTTTTTTATTTATTTATTTTTTGGTACTGGGGATTGAACTCGGGTCCCTGTGCTTGCGAGGCAGGTCACCCAACCAGTGAGCTAAATCCCTGGCCCTCCTATATATTTATTTTCAAAAATAAATTATGATCTCCACCTGGTCTAATGACATCAACTTTCCAAATTTAAAAGTGTTTAGATAATAATGTACAGAAATTGTATGAGAATGGAACAAATATTGAAATAATGTATCTATGGAAACTTCACCTGTGAAATTTGATTGTAAGGTCACTAAAGAGAAGATAAATTTGCAATTAAAGTGAAACATAATATCTACTTTTTATGATCTCTTTTGTGTGTGAGTTTTTTATTTAGAGATTCTTTAGTTCATAGGATAGTTCAAATACTTGCTACCAAAGGGTTTAGTCTAAGACTCATAGAATCCTCCAGCAACTTGCTAGAAAAATACAATTTAAAACACTATGCTGGACACAGTAAATCTAAGGCACTACTTTAACAAAATCCCTAGGTCATTTAGTATATGTACACTAAAACTTGGTTTATATAGTAGCCAAGCATGGTGGTACATGCCTATGATCCCAGCACTCACTGGGGGCAGATAGGCTGAGGCAGGAGGATTGCCTCAAATTCCAGGCCAGCCTGGGCTGCATAGTGAGTTCAAGGACACCCTGAACTCCATAGCAAGATCCTGTCTCATAAAAACAAACCAAAATAAAAAATGACTGGTGTGTTCAGTGACCAAGTATCTATGTATCTTTCATGGTTTTTATGCACTGTTGGGAAACATTGCGAAACCAGGAAAAGCCATGAATACACTTTGAAAGATGAGCAGAACAGGCAGCAAAAGCATTAGAGATGCTGATGCTGAAATGTGAGAGCCATGCTCAGTAGCCAACAGCTGAAAGTTAATGAGTGCTACTCACTACTGCTATTACTCAGTGTTTTACCTTTGTTAGCAAGGGCAAAATTATTCTTTGAGAAATGTCAGAAGTAGTGCGGAATAAAAATGAATGGAGTTCACAGAATTAAAGAGTAGAAATGTACCTTAAAGTTCCTTTCTCCAGACTTTATCCGGAGAAAGGTGATGGTCAAAGATTACCATTCTAGCAACAAAGCTAGGATTTAGGTCCTAATAAAGTTTTCAAAGAAAGCTAGTTATCAGTACAATTGGGAATCTCACAGTGTGAGCAGCTGAAAAGTCACATCACCTTATCTCCCACAGTTCTTTCAATCTTAAAAAAGAAAGTTGTAAGTGGGAGCTGAATTGATGGAAAGTCCAGAGAAAAGTGGAAACAGTGCCATGAAGCTTCAAAATATAAAGTCCATCCAACTCCTTTGGTTCCATTTATTTCTTAGCTGAGAGAACAAAGAAAGAGAAAGCAGTTAATTGAATGCTATAATGTTATCTGTTTTCTTCTGAAACTCTGAAAAGTGTTATAAAATAGATACTATTACTCACTTATTTTTCACATTGGTAAACAGGAAAATAGAGTAAAGACATGGTCTAAGTTTGCACAGCCAGATTTCTGGTTTTTCTACTAGAGTACAAACAGATTCTTTTGATAGAGCTGTTCTAGTAAAGCTAAATGTAACATAGTGTAATGAATTAATTAATGGCTAACAATGATTTCCTATGCCAACTTTTATTCACATAAAATTTCTTTCTTAGTAACAGGAAAGATATTATATGATAAATATATCCCATCTAAATGAAGAGAGTCATAAAAGCACTGTGTGACTATGATTGTTTAGAAACTCCATCTCTATATGTTCATAGTATAATGAATATCTAATTGCTTCTTATTTCAGTTGGATGGACCTAAGGACAGGTGGGTAATAAGTGCATAACTCTGCTTAACTTTGATTTGAAATATAGGGTTTTTCATATTCCTGAATATATATGGCTTTAATAACATAAGTATGAATTTAATTTGCTACTACATTTTTTGTGGTACTGGGGATCCAATCTAGCACTGAGATGCATTTCCTTCCAGTACTTTTAAAAAATTTTATGTTTGAGACAGGGCCCCACATGTCATTAAGCTGTCCAGGCTGAGCTTGAACTTGTGATCCTCCTGCCTCAGCCTCCCAAAGTGCTAGTATTACAGTTGTGTGCCACCATGCCCACCTTTGCTGCTGCTTTATAACTGACCATTTACAGATTTAAAAAATTGCAGGATATCTGTCTTGTCCCAAATCTCTTGAATAAATAACCTAATCACTTCAGGATCATGAAATAGCTGTTGCCACCATGATAAAAATAAAAGAGAAAAATAGTAAATTTCATTTCAATAACCAACTATAAATTGTTTTAATGAAAGTCTATCATTTATTCATTTTATTTCACTCAGGTTTTCTTATATACTATGTGAACATCACAATTTTGTTCCATTATTTCTGAAATTTACATTTTCCTACAATATGTGCACTTAATCACATTTCTTTTTAAACATCTAGGCAACTACATACAGTGTGAGAATCTAATTTTAGATCAAAACACTTATGTTCAACAAACACTATGCAACAAAGAAAAAAGGGAGCTAAATATGATGCTAAAATTAGTCTTGTTTTTCATATGACTGTGCAAGCTGACTGAGAAAATACTTGCTATGAATTTCATATCCATCTGTATAAAATGTTTCCCAGGGCACAATATGAAAGGAATTTTTTAGCAGATGAAATATGTTAAATTGATGTGTAGTGAAATCACACAAGCTTATAGATTTTCCTCCCCCCTCTTGTCTACCTTTATCAGAAGACAGGCAAATGGGAATATGATTTCAAGGTAAGTGATCTATAAAACAATCTGTGTGTAGAGTTCCTAATAAATGAGAAGACTCAGTTTACCCTTTGAAGATGGAGTACATTAGACAAGTATTACTTTTTTATGTTCCCCTTGATCTATACC